TGTTCTCTCTCTCTCTCTCTCTCTCTCTCTCCTTTTCTCTCTCTTTCTCTCTCTCTCTCCCTCTTTCTCTTTCTCTTTCTCTCTCTCATCCCACTCAACAAGCAAATTTATCTTGAACCTTTTAAAATATTGGATTGGCGTTGTCCTTGCAATGTGACAAAATAGCAAATCTTCATAATGTCTTTCTTGAGCGCCGCAAGCGAAGCCATAGGACGATGCAATCAGTTAATCTTAAATTATTCTATGTTTAGTCGCACAGACCAGCATAGCACTTTAGCAACGGGAAAAAGCACTGCTATGTGCGGTTAGTTGTTGTGCTTGCTAATTATTATTTCTTTTACATTACTATTTTTACCTTGATAGTTATCTGCAGTAGCCAGCAAGGTCTATTATTTTACTTCGTCCTCAGATGATAAAGGCCATCGTCAGTTCATAATCGACGAACGAGCACGATCATGATATATTTTTGAATATATGAATATGAATAAATGATTATGTGTTTTACGTTATGTGGGTACTGTAGACTTAACGTAGATCTAGATACATTTTGATTTCAGCGTGTGGTTGTAGGGAGCGCCTTGTATTGTAGACCTAACTTCTTTTCTTTCCGTCTTTTATTTATGGCTGTCATATTTAAGTTAGTCCTCATTGTGATGAAAACAGAATCTTGTCAAAATGATTATATCGAAGCAACAGGCATTTTATCCAACAGTTGGGTAATTTTTATCATTATTTTGGCTTATGGCTTTATATATCCGCTTAAAACATATTTCTATGCTGAGTGTACTCTGCATAGAAGGGGGGAAACAATTTAGTAGAAAATAAGTTAAAAGAATGATCACCTCATCTTTGCAATGGATTACCTTTTCTTATATAAAGTCTTTATAAGAGTGTATTTCTGTCACTGGGCATTTACAGCAATATGCAATGTTTGATCCATTAGAAGAAGCATGTGTGCAGCCTGTACAATTTTATGATGGAAAATTGAATTGATTTAAAATAACGCAACACAACTTTAAACTGTTTTTCATATATTTCATTTATGATTTATTTTGCTGTCATGAAAGTCTCCTCTGTAAAATCTGACGGTTTTGTGATGTGGGCCAGTGGCCTTAAACACTTAATATACACTTACGTACGTAACATAGCGCGTTAATCTTATTATCTTCCTGTCAAAATGATTACAATTACGTACATTATATTGAGATTATGGATTGTTACTAAAAAATAAAACCACCATTCGAAACTATTTCTGTTGTTTCGATTTCGCAGAGTGCACGGTATCTCAGGCCTGAGGGTAGCCGATGCATCCATAATGCCCTTCATCCCTTCCGGAAACACCCACACACCTTGCGTGATGATTGGCGAGAAAGCTGCACACATGATCCGAAAAGCCTGGTCCCGCTAACTGCTGTGTGAACGAACTTCCAAGTGTGTAACATACTGGTGAAATCGGGCGCTCGTCAAAAAAATGAAATCCGAGAAACCGGCACCTCGCCCGTTGGGCAATTTTATAAAGAATTGTTTTTTTCGGACTCAAAAAAACTTTTAAGTTCACTTAAAATACATTGCTGTGTGGACTTTTCTGATAAATGTTGATCAAATACACTAAAAGAGTGTGAATTTGCTGTTTCCAAGGACTCGTAAGCCTTGGAAATTGCAAAACTTGGATCGCCATTTTCTCGTTTCTTTTACTTTTGACGCCAGTTTAGACACATCTTTTTCAATTGCAGGTATCTTGACTTTTATTTTAGATAGATTGGTATCCTTTTCAAAGAAAGCGAGAAACAGGAACAAACCTCAAGATAAAACCAATAACTCTATATGTATATACCAAGACTTTGACGGACGCCTGATTTCACCGTTTCGTGACACAAATAATATGACACAAATAATATATGAACGAATGGAGAGAAATCCAAAGTCCTGAAAGAAGGCTGCAGAGCCGGAACATTTACGTTTTACCTGTAGTATGTGTTTGGAAGAAAACGTTTCTGTTGTGTTACTTTTTCAGTCTCACGTATTCTTCATTCTAAACCTGACAGGACTCCACAGTAACTGACTCCTATAGTACATCCTGATTTATCATCTTAGCCTTCACGTTTCAACATATATGACGTAGCACTCTTATGACCTTATGCAGTTGCAAACACCGTAAAACCTCTACAAAGACAAGATACATGACGTATATCGTTATCATTTACACATTTATTCTAGAATGTATTGTCCATAGCTGTAATCCTAGGCTTAAAAAGAGCTTGAAATGCTAATTCTAGGGGTACAAATTAACAAGAATCCATGACGTATTTCGTGAATGTTTGCTGAAATATATCATCCTAAGCTGTTCAAAAGAAAGCTCAGACAGCAATTTTTGTTCTCAGAAGAGAGGAAAAAAATCTGGTTCATTCTTTTAACAACCGTGCCTACATTAAGTTGTTTTCTTGCTTTTATTTCAGTATTTAAAATTTGAGTCAAGACAAAACAATCCACAACTTATTTTGTGAATGTTAGGAGAAAAAATGATATCGTCATAAGCTGTTTAAACGCACTAAGCTCAGAGAGCAAACTGTTTCAGAAAAAAATAATTTTAAAAGTTTTTTTCTTTTAACAACCGTACCTACATTAAGACTATGCATTTTTATAGCTTTTTCACGATTTAATTAGAATTAGAATTTAGACAAAATAATACCTGAAGACAATATGCGACTGATACTGCAGTTTAGAAGAATATTATATAAAAAATTTATGCTTAGTGAATCCGAAAAGCTGACAGGCGAAATAATCCTTTATTGAGCTTCAGCAGGGATCGTGTGGTTAGATAGCTTTGGTTTGCAAAGAATGTCAAGCAAGTCTGGGTATAAGCTGTTAGGATGGGTGACCACAGGGGTGATTCTTTGAGCATGATAATAATATGATAATTCTAGCCCTGGAACAGCTTGCTACCCAGTGGTGACCAGAAGTAGTGTGTCTGTCATCTGTCAAAGAGTCTGCATTGTTGAGACATTGTGATATTGTGTATGATGTAAAGGTAGTATAACCTTAGAAAGAATTATGTGTGCACTGTACATGTCATTATATCCAATTTTTTAAAATCAAGGATAAATAAAAGTGGTTCTTGTATATCATTGATATTATCAAAGACATTGACAGATGAAGGGATTTTAACCTGTGTGCTTCTGTTTTTGTTGGTGATCTTGAACTCGTTGCTGCTGCTGCTGCTGCTGCTGCTGCTGCTGCTGCTGCTGCTGCTGCTGCTTCTGCTGCTGCTGCTGCTACTGCTGCTGCTGCTGCTGCTGCTGCTGTTGCTGCTGCTGCTGCTGCTGTTGTTGTTGTTGTTGCTGCTGAGCTAGAACTCATTATTATTGTAAGTTATTGCTGATGTTGATTTTGGTTGTTGTTGCTACTGCTGCTGTTGCCGTTCCTGCTGCTTCTATTGCTGTTGTTGTGTTTGCTGTTGTGTTGTTGTTGATGATCTTAAACTCATTGTTATTGTTGTTGTCGTCGTCGTCGTAGTCGTCGTCGTAGTCGTCGTCGTCGTCGTCGTCGTCGTCGTCGTCGTCGTCGTTGTCGTTGTTATTGTTGTTGTTGTTGTAGTTCCTCTTCTTCCTCTTCTTCCTCTTCTTCTTCTTCTTCCTCTTCCTCTTCCTCTTCCTCTTCTTCTTCTTCTTCTTCATCTTTTTCTTCTTCTTCTTCTTCTTCTTCTTCTTCTTCTTCTTCTTCTTCTTCTTCTTAAGGTTAACTGGGTGGTTTGTAGGCGCTCTGGTGTGGTTGGCACCTTCTTTCTCATCAAATGTCTGTCGTTTTCATGTCTCCCCTCCTTTCCTTCTCATGTTAATCTGGGGGCTCTCGTGGCCGAGATGTAAAGGTGTTGGCCACTCATTCATCAAAGGTACCGGGTTCGAATTCGGATAGTGACCGAAATTTTTTTTCTCTAAATTTGTCTGCTTTCACCTCCTTTCCTGCTCTCTAGCAATGTTCTGTCGTCTGCTTTCGTCTCCTCTTTCTGCCCCCACTCCCTCTTCTCCTTTGCCCCCCCCCTCCTCCTCTGGGCTCCTGATTCTTTCTACAGCCTTTCTACTGCTACTCCTTGGCTTCTTCTTACTGCTGTCTTTCAGCCACACACCTGATCTTCTGGTAAGAAAGATCTACACCTAGCCTTCTCCGACAAGGGCGAAAAATCTCGGAGGGCCCGTGTGCAAGTTGCGCACATTAAAGATCCCTTGGTGGTCTAAAATTGATATGAGTACGCTTCGGCCGCCACCCGGGCAACATTCAAAATTTCCTACCAACTGAAAAAGTTTAATGTGTCCCGCGCGCTCATATGACCTTATGCAGTTGAGAGCGCCGTGAAACACTTACAAAAACAAACATTATTATGTTAATCTGTAGTAACATCTATAATGGGGCTAACCCAGATCTCGCGGGTATCCAGAAATCTCGACCTGGTTTCGTTGGTGTGTATATTACATTTTTTGGTTAGAGCAAACTCTCCTTGTCTTTTAAAGAAACTGAATAAAGGGCAAAAACTTTACCTTCGATTTTCTCAAAACAGCATTTTTCGGGATAGCCCCCTTGTGCTTAAAAGCGACCAATTTTCGGTACTTTACATGGCTTGATTTTGTTGCTTGTGCCGTAAAAGTCCCCCAAAAAACTAAAACGAATCACCTCAAACTGCTGTTGAATTTTAAGAACGCAAGGCGTACGTTTACCTTATGTGGCGTCCCCGAGCGAACTCTTTTAATGAAACGAGTAAACTCTTTACACTCAGCTAAAAAAAACTAACAAACCCAAAACCTGCCGTTTTAGACATGAAGAGATTGAACAATTCAAATTGACAGCGTGCCCTGGTGTTCCTGTGATTGAGCTAACAAAAATCTACTTTTTTGTGTTCCTTATCAAGACTTGGTGCTAGGTGCTAACTACGCTGAGTGGATGGTTGGCAGGTGTTCTGGTTGAGGTTTGTTCATTCTTTGCTATCAAACATAATAATTTTTATAACACCTTCTTCTCTCCTTTGTAATCTTCGGCAATTATGTGGCTCAGTTTCAATTTTGTTACAATCACCGTAAAACTCGTACTTACTAAACTAAAGAGAAGCTATTCCCCATGCCCCTCCTCCCCTCCCTCGTAAAAAAGAAAATACAGAAAAAAGAGAAAAAGAAACTAACTACTGAGACCACACGAATGTCCACGAACAGAAGGAGATTTTTGTTGTCATTCGATGGCAAGCAAATTATCTCTCGGCTGACAATCGCTCTAGATACAAAAACAACGCGAAATCATTGTCGCTGCTTTTTTTTAAAACCTAGGATAAGCCCGACACAATAAGTAAGGATGGGCAGAGCACAGAATAGACAAATTGGTGTTATAAAACTGCGTTGGACGTCATCTCTACGGGAGTCGAATTATGAAAATTGACCTGTGAAATATTTTTAACTACAGGAAATGCTTATATATCATTGCGGTGTTGGGGGACACACAATGGAGGGGGCACTCTAGCGAACTCCACTTTGATTTGGTACGGAAATGATGGTAGAGGGGAATTGGGGAGACGAAGAAAAGGGAGAGAGAGGGAGAGAGAGAGAGAGAGAGAGAGAGAGAGAGAGAGAGAGAGAGAGAGAGAGGGGGGGGGAAGGAGACACAGAGAGAGACAGACAGACAGAGATAAACAAACAGAGACAGAGAGAATGGGATGGAGAAGGGGATGGAAAGAGGAAGAAAGAGAGATTGAGAGAGAAAGAGGGAGAGAGACAGAGATAAAGAGAGATTATGCGAGACGGAGAGAGAGGGATAGTTTAGTTTGAGTAAGAGTTTTACTGCACTTGCAACACAATAAGGTTATAATTGCCGATAATTAGAGGTGTTAAAAGAGAGTATCAAACACAAGAAAGGAGGAGGAATGATAAGGACGATAATAATTATACGTTTGATAGGATACGAGGATAGAAAGAGCAAACCACATCAGTGCAACCCCCTCCCCCCTCCCTCACAGAGAGACACACAGAGAGAGAGAGAGAGAGAGAGAGAGAGAGAGAGAGAGAGAGAGAGACAGAGAGAGAAACAGAGAAAGAAGCAGAGGCAGAAAACAAATTTGGAACAAAACAAAAACGAAACAAGAGAATGTTATTATTGAGAAATCGGATGATAGAGAAAAGT